TCGTCATTTAATTTAGACCAATACTTTGGTCTGCATAAATTTATATTGCTAATACATGTATTCTCTTTTATTCTATGTACATATTTCCTCTGTTAAACAGTAAAGTGTTTCATACAAAATTGGAAACCACATAAGCAGGTATAACTTGCATAGGGGCGTAGATGTTTCCTGGAGCTAACCTTGACCAAGAATATCAAAGATCTTTTGCTTTTTGCATAATGATAAACTTGCACTTGGACTGGTAAGAAATGACACTGTATGGATAGAAAAGCAACTAGCTCAAAAGCACCTTAAGAGTGCTCTAAGAGTGCACCTAAGAGAAGTCTCTAGGCTTCCCTGACTACTTAGGATAGTGAGTTGAACATGTAGGGCTGAATGGGGAAAACTAAGGAGGAAACACCTACGAATGATGTAATGTATGAATAGGCATGAGGTCTGTTGAGAATCTAAGCTCTGATGCATGCAGATACTGGACCTGTTTAATGAAGCAGCTACCTGAGCTGAGGAGAGCTGAGCTTAGGAGAAAGTCCTGGAAATGAATGAAAACAAAGAAAACCCCATACTGTGGTCTGAGATTAAATCACTAGAAGCATACGTACACAAAGATGTGATGGCATCCGTTTGCTCTGTGTTTTGCAAGCCTTTGCAGGGTTAAAGACCATCTCTTAACACTGTTCTCAGCTCCTGAAGTAGCTAAAGATGGAGACAACATTCATGGAGCTGGAGAAGTCTCCATTCTTACATCCTAGTTTGATTGTCCTCACAGATTTCAAGAGATGTGTGCATTTACACTGTAGTGCACACTTATAACATGCCAGTCCTTTGAGTGACCCATGACAGTGCCATGAAAAGGCAGTGGGATGCTTTAGTAGAGGGAAATAAGGATGCATGAAGACAAAATTGTTTGCAGATTGAAGTGTTGGCAAAAGATAATTACCAAAATACAAGATTTTTTCTCCCTTTTCTCTGCAAGCCAAGGGAGTCTCACAGCAAGTAAATAGATAAAAGCTGATCACTGGGCATGGAGAAAGAGGCAAAACACTGAGGTAGGTAAGGCAGGAAGCATAGAAAGTAGATGAGATTTGCTGTTCTGAAGCAGAAGGAACAGAGCAAGAACATGGGCAAAAAGAAGAGGTTGAAACTAGGCTGGAAAGATTATTGCCTGTAGACAGGTGGAGGATTGGCAAGAAAAGAATTACAGAGGAGAATCCAGAGGGACCCCAGACCTATCAATGGATGTCTATCTAGTTCCTCATCAGGGTAGGCAATGCATCAAACCACAAGACTGGGCTTTAGCACATGCTGCTGGTGAGCAGCCAAAGAACCAGAAGTCTGTGGAAAGTGAAATGCTGAAGGCTTTGTGCTTAAAATTAACTGGCAAATTGAAAACGGCCCCTCATTATACCTTCCTTTAGAGATTTCAGTTTGAAGCTTTTCTTCTTGCTTGTCCCAAGTGAGGAATTTACTTTAACTAAGTCATTCTCTATCTCACCCTTCTTGGATCATCCAGATAGACTTGTCACTAAATGCAATAAGATCTGCTCAGTTGGCACCCTGAGTGAATATAGCTGCCTACCTCTGCACAGAAGCTATGGCTTGCTTAAGATGACAGAGAAAAACTACAAAGTGTTTGCCTTTTGCACTGCCTGGCCCAGTGCCCCTTGCCTGATAACGTTATAAGAGATTGACATGATGGAAGTGAGGGAAATTGGTTCTAGAAATGCTCTGAGCTGAGCTGAAGTTAAGGCTGCATGGGAAGTGTTAGACCAAGCAACTAACTTAGCCCTATAGGTACCTGTAGGACACCTCTAGATGACAATGTGGTGTAAATTTACTCTGAATACTGGTCATATTACTGGATTTCAATGTGCTGTGAGGTTTCAAAGAACCAGGTCCCAAAGAAATGCTCCGTTTTGTCAGAAACTCACAGGAGTTGTAAGGGGCAGAGATGCTGCTCTTCATTGGATCTTAAAATGCTTTCCCTCTTCTACTGTCCACTAAATACATGAGACTATTCATTTTTCAACATAAACCCCCTTGGCTTCCCATATACCATTATGTCTCTGTACGGCACTTCCCATGCACACCTATAGAGCTACTGAAGTCAAAAGATATGGTGGACTGAGACATCAAAGTGAATCAGAGGGAGAATCAGTGATCTATTTAAAGGAAAGGAAGCTTCTTGGAGAAGCAATTATGTCTTAGGATGCATCTTTTTCTTGTAGCTTTAGAACTGCTGGAGTCAGAGAGCATTTGGGTTTCTCCCTGTTCCTTGAGAGAATTGCTGGATGCACATCCAGCTGTGTAGAGGACATGGAGAAATGCTGATGCAACCAGACCCACTCAGTGCAAACAGAAGGCAGAATGTTTGGGGCCAGGAGTGTTATCCCATACAATTTCCAGCTGTGAGTCCTTATTAAAGCAGGATTGGAGGATCTCCCCAAAGTCTTGGTTCCCTGCGAGGGAGGCTACCATGTCCCTCATGAACAGCTGAGATCCAGTGGGTAGTGTGTTTCAGGAAGTCCCTAAGAGATGGCTCAAATATGAGGAGTATACGGAACAGCAGATATTGCATTTCTTCTTCAGGCAAAGGTTTGACTTTGCAGGCTTTGCAGTGCTGGACTGGAAACAAACTGAGCAGGAAGCAAACTGCTTTCCCATGCAAGTGAATTAACTCTGTGTGCTTACAATCTGAAGAAACTATTTCCACAATAACTTCACCTTCGCTATACACATCACTGCAGAGCATCACTGTATGAGCACGCAAGACCCAACTCCTTCAGGTGGCATCCTGCTCACCAGACAGAAATCCAGACTGTTGAAGCTGGGATGCCTGAGACTGGATTAGGAGCCCTGCTGTCGTTTTAAATCCAGCCAGCTGATGGCTGTGTCGTGTAGGAAATGAGCTCTCAGTCTTATCTAAAGCAGTGGTGATGGTGGAAACTGCAGCCACATCTCTGCTGGGGAAGCAAAGAGAGGGTGAGTCCTTTAGGGAACTAAGAGTCATCATCCAGACAGCACAGGGAGACTAGGGTTTGGTCCCAACAAAGGCACAGGATGAAACATGATGGGTGTTGGCAAAGGGGATGGGTGAAAAGGGGACCAACAGGAGCATATGGGAGAAAGAACAGTACCCCGGATAGAGAGGGGATGGAGAAAGCATCTGTATTGGGAAAAGCAGTTGGGATAAGCATCAAAATGAGACCAGTCAGTAAATCCTGGGCATATTCTGGGACAAAAAGGAATTGCTTATACTTACCTTTTCCTTAACCAAAGGATGATAAATGTCACCAACCCCTCTGTTTCCCACAGCTGCTCTGCCACAACTGCTCAGGAAAGCTTTGATGGAACATTGTTTTTATCCTGTCATAACTCACATAAAGGTGTCAGTTTTACAGAAAATGTGTGTTCAGAAGCAGTCCTCTTCCCTGAAAGACAGGATTACGATAATACTGCCAACAGGATTTGGTTCAGATGGTATCATTGGATGTTGGTAGCTATTTTTCTTTCCCCAAGAGAAATCTATGGTTATTTTCAATAGTTTTAAGAGGTAAAAATGGGGAAAGAAGCTATTTTTATTTTAGTTTGTTGGCCTAATTTTAAACTTTGGATTTTATTTTATGAGATACTTAAATTTCAGTTCCTTCCCCCCCCCCCCCCCCCCTTTGTGTTCCCTCTTAATCTTGGAATGGAAATCACTGTCAAACTGCAACATTTCACACAATTTAGAAAGCATTTGAGCCAATGTAGTGTTAAGGACCTGTATACATGGATACCAGATTTCTCTATGTGAGCTCTAGGAGTAACCCACTCAGCTGGCATTGAATTGATAGCACAGTCGCCTTTCCCTACACCACTTCTTTCCACAGACAGGACTCTATTTATTAGTGAAGGATTCCCAAATACTGCCCTGTACCAACCCAGACTGAGCTTCTCCACCGGGCACAGAGTGGCACAGCTCTCATTTCACTTGGATTTCCTCTGTATCTCACCACCCCACACTGGGACATCCTGCTTGATACAGATCATAGGAAGTGATAAAAAGCCTGATTTCCATTCCTATCCATGGAGTTGGGAACCCAAAACGCTTTTGACCTTGATTTTGGTTCTTTAAAAACTGGTCTGGTTTTGGAAGTGTGCTTTTTCATCTTGGATCTCAACAAATGGGATTTATGTTGATCAGTTGCAGGCACCCAGACATCAGGTGCATGGTCAAAATCATCATCTATTTGGCCTTATTAATGAATAGCAAGAGGTAAGTGTCTTGATGAGGTGACTAACTCTCACCCTAAGGCCAACATCTAAGATACTTGGGGATGAATCAATGTCTGAAATAAAGGGGAGAAAGTCACTTACTGAATCTTTTTCCCACTGGCTAAAACATAGGACAAGAAAAATAACTTAGATCAATCTGAAGTTTTAAAATCCCACATATAAGTCCAATATATGCAAAAACAGGGAGTTGGCTGTATTCACTCAAGATGTTGCTGCCTTTTAAGAGCTGGAATTAGTTTGTTATGGTATTCAGATAGGACAGCATTTCTTCAAAACCCCCTGGTATCTTTAGTGCCTAAGGTGATGATTTCCCAATGCATTAGATGTAATGCACTGTTGACCAAACAGCATGTCCCTAGAAGGGAGCCAAGGGTTTGCTCTATTACCAGCTCACTGCTCTCCTTTCCCACATCCAAAGAGAAGATATTAAATCATTGGGGATTTCACTCTAGAAATATCTCCTCCAGATAATAATTAAGATCTCTACATATTTTCTATCAGTTATTCTGACAGCAACCATCAAATCAGAAAGATACCACTTGTGTCTATCTTTATATATGTTGCTATATATCAACATATCATTTAATATATATTCATATGTATTATTTAACATATTTATATAATGATCCTTAAATCAATTTTTATTTTTATTGCAGATTTCAATCTTGCAATAAAAGTGCAATATGATGGATGTGGGTCTCTTTCCATCCAAAAGCTTAATATGTCTCTCATTATCCATAATACATAAAATACATCTCTGTAAAATACAGTCAGCACTTAGGACTAGATTAAATTAGTGAAATGCATTCAGCTACCTATGAAAAGAAGTTAAAAGGAGTTAACTGTACGTTTGGCTCGTTATTTTTCCCCTCTCATTGCTCTGGTGAAGAGATACACATTTCATTTCCCATTGATACAAACACCAGCTAGAAATAATTGGTCTATGACTTATTGTGAGCAGAATAAGAAAGACAGAAGAAAGGTATCACAGAGAAATACCCTTTGTGGAGAAGCCTGGTTTGCTGGGAAACATGCCATGCAGCCTCTCATAACTGTAGTGATTTCTTTTCACCACCTTTAGGCACTTTGAACATATAGGAATACAGAACACCCCTACCAAAACCCTGCAGTGGGTCAGTGGCTAAGTGAAGTGTTATGCTCTAAGCCATGTCATCTCCGTAGGAGTGGATGGATGAATTCAGATCATCTGAAACTGAAAGAGGGTAATTTTGTTTACACATTAGGAAGGAGTTCTTCCCTGTGAGGGTGCTGAGGCACTGGCACAGGGTGCCCAGAGAAGCTGTGGCTGCCCCATCCCTGGCAGTGTTCAAGGCCAGGTTGGACACAGGGGCTTGGAGCACTCTGCTCTAGTGGAAGGGGTCCCTGCCCGTGGTAGAGAGTTGGAACTGGATGAGCTTTAAGGTCTCGTCCAACCCAAACCATTCTGTGATTCTATAAAATGGAGGTATTTTCACTTACTCTTGTTTAATGTGTGTATGCATGCCTGGTCCATGGCAAATATGCCACAGCAGCAGAGGCCAGGGTAGCAGAGGCAAGAAGCTGTGGTACAGTAAGCCGTAACTCAAGTGCTGAAGGTTGCCTATGCATAGTCTCTTGTTTTCTGCCTGTATCTTCATGTTCCACAAACAACTTCATTAGGCCAAGTCTGAAACAGGAGAGGACATGATGACACCAATAGGAAGAGATCTACTTCGTCTTGGTGAAAATCAAGGCAAGCAGAAAAACTTGACTTACCTTACTGTTTCCATCTCTTTCAAATGAAAGCCCTTTGTGTTAACATAAGCAAGAAAACATAAGAAGCTATAGCCTCTATAGCCACATATCCTGGTGCCATCATACTCTACACCAGACAGATGGATAGGGATCTCTGCTGGGGAAGTCAAGAGGGTGTCTGGCCCTCCAGGAACTCAATCAAGATCCAAAGAGCACCCAACAGACTATGACTTTGCTCCAAGGGAAGCACAGGATCAAGCCTGGTGGCTGTTGGGAAAAGGGAGTGGGGAAGAGGAAACCAACAGGAGCATGTAGGAGAAGGAACAGTTCCCCAGGTGGAAAAGGGAAGTCGAGAGCATCTGCATCATCACTGCCCACACCTGGAGCTGTTCCTGCTCTGAACACAGGCAAGTCACACTGCCTGAGGCAAGCCTTTTTCATACAGCTGGTGAGTTAATATCTAAGAAATATGAATAAATAATGTGTTTAATGGACCACAATATTGCTCTCCAGAGCAGGAGTGAGTGAGATGAAAGTAACTTCAAAGGATAATGCTAACACAGGAGGGCAGAGGGTCTGTCTTCACACAAAACGGGTCCTGGATTCAATTTTCAGGCATGTTAACATACTGACAACAGAAAACCAAGCTGAAAGAAGCTGAATCCAATACTTCTATATCCTGGAAGACTGGTCCCACACTCTTCATGTACTGATACACATCTGTGTTTGAATTCCTCTGTCAGTTTTGTCACCCTGTAAACCTTCAGCTTCTGATACCACATTGCACTAAGACCATGAACAAGATCTATTCAGGACTCAACAGCTGCTGTCTCTTATTGAGCCCTGTGTTTCCTTTCATGGCTCATTACAATAAGTTAGATTAGAACTATAGCTAATTGCTATTGCCATAGTAATTTACAGTAGATGCTGTTTCTATTTGTACATCACGGAGATGGCACAATGACACGTCTTTTCTAATTATATCAGCCAAATCATTCCCACTAAGTACTGTAATAGTATTTTAATTAATATTATTATCCCTGTATCTGTCACAAAGCTTAAAACTTTGAAGCTGGAAAACTCCTTTTGTACCTTCAGAAACATTGAGCTTGACAGAAATCTTCAACTCTTGGATCTTTCCATGCTCTTAAGCAAAAGAGAGCAAGGGAGACAAGTTTTATTCTCACCTTTGCCAAGGACATAACTATTGACAAGTGATTCTGTCTTTTGCTGCCTCTGTGGAAAGGGGAGAGTGTATTTAAATTCAGTTTGGATTGTCTTTTGTGGATGTGATTACAAAGAGCTCCTAACTTAGAAAGTGAGGCTTTTGTGAACAGGAATTAACCAGGAAATTCTCTTTTGTGCTTCAGGCTTAGGCTCACCACCACTTAGGTGATTACAATTAGCTACTAGTGATTAGTTAAATTAGGATTCAGTTACTCAAGCTATGTTTGCAGGTAAAGGAAAGCAGGGAAGCATCTCTGGAAGTGACCTTGGTCCTTAGTTTGCTGTTTTTCCTTTACTTCAATGGTCTTTAAACTTACTCAATGACTCCATTAAGTGTCTAAACCTTGGTGGGATAAAGGGGGCTTAAAGACTGTGATGCAGGACCCATTACTGTGTGTTTTTTTAGCCCCAGTTGTACGCAGATAGTGTATGTGTGTTCCTCTGCTGGGAACCTCCTTGGTGTCCAGACCAACTTGGCTGATTTCCTAGACAGAAACTATGTGATTGGACTGTCAGACCTGGATTATTGCTCTTTCGGCTTACTGTTATAAGCCAGAAGTGACAGCTCTGCTGTTTCAGAAGGAAACATGGAGCTGAACATGATGCTACACTTGGTATACTGAGTGCTGAGCCTGCTGTGACTCATGTTGTGGTAATGTATTCACAAACAAGCAAGCCACGGGAGTTTGTTTCTTCACAACTGTCTGCTGCATAAAAAGGTGGCAATAGTTTCGCATCTTGTGGGTGCTGCAAGATGTGCAGGGACAGTTTGCATTCAGGGAGGTTGGATTTTGGGTATGAAGTGCCCCATTGCTCATTAAGGGGAGTCCAAGGGCCAGCTGGCTTTCTCCAATCTTTCTGTGCAAGGGTCTATGATGAAAGTGCATTTTTACCTTAGTAAAAGAAGGTAATGCGTATGCTGAGAAAGGGAGGTAAAGCTGAAGCAAGGATGACCTTAGACAGCAGCTGATGAGCAGGGCAACAATAGGATATCTGAGTTAATGCAATGGCATCATGCTTTTGTTGACACAGATACTACCTTGGAGATCACCCCTCGGTTCAACACACAGTGGATTACAGACCAGGTCCCTAAGCTGTGCGTGACGCAGAGGACTGTAGAGCAAACAGAAGGCGAAAACTCATGAGGCACGTGCCTACATGTGAGGAGCTAATGGGCATCTCGTGCCTAATGTAAAGGTCACAGCAAGCCTGATGCTTTATAGAGCTTCTTTGTATTCCTGCCAGCCTAGCAAAAGGTGAAGAGGATGAGTCATTGTGCTGAAACCTGGTCAGATACTAAATACATCAATGTTTTTGTCTGTGATAGAACAGAGGCATTGTTGGCTTACTTTGGCAAAATTGAGTTGAACATCAGCAGCAAGCCCAGCAACAGTGCAAGGTATACATATGCATATGTATAGTTTAGTTTGAGCCATCACTATTTTAAAAGCCAGATTAGGTGGTGCAACACAGTGTTGTAGCCTTCTCATTGCTTTATTCCTATGAGGCCATGCACCACTGTGAGTGCCAGAGAACACTGAAATTTTAGGGTGAAGTCCTCAGAGCCATTACTTGCTTTCTAAAATGGACATGACTGGGCAAAACACATGGGTCAGTTGGGAAACTGCATAGGATGTTACTACCAGAAAGGAAGTCTTTCAAGTGGTTGGAAATTATATATCCAAGATGTCTAGCAAGATGTTAATTGGTAACTGTACTTCCAGGTTCTGCTGGTATATTTCTGGCGTATCGTACAATGGTGGTTTTGAACTATCTGAATATACAACATCTAAAAAGTTGTAAAAAGCCCTGCTTCAGAAGATGGTCCATCCTACATCAGTATTGAATTACAACAGAATTGGACCTTTTGCTGTGAGGAAACTAATAAATGCCACTTTCATTTGCTATTTCTAGGAACACTGGAAAAGTGTCCTAGAGTGGTCACAGTGGTAGTGGTACACATCCACATTATAATAGGTCTCTTGCCACTCAGGAATTTGTCTTCCATGGGAATATAAACCATATTTTGTGACTGTTTTTTTCCTCTTTGCCAGAACTAGACAGACAATGGCTTTTCTGTTTGTCTAGCATTCTCTTGTCACTTCATTTTGAAACTACCTGGAAGAAAACCAGGTAGTGCCAAGGCATCCTACAATCTTTGGAGGCCAAAAGCTTGGGTTAACTGAAACATTTCATTTAACTAAAGCAGAAGTGTGTTCCTCTGATTTTTTACTTCTTACTTTCATTCTATACAATTTAACAGAATATACAGTGAGAGGGAGGGGAAAATAAGAACAAAAGTCATTTGGAAATGAGGAATTACAATAATATGTTCTGGAAAGGTCAGAGAGGAAGTTTCAGCTGTATGGGAACACTGCTCTTCTTTCTCTTTTCAAAGAGACATTTAATGAAAGCCCACAAAATATTCCTTCATCAATGAATCAGCAGGCCATTTCTAACCAATCTACTTAACATGTTCTGCTTTCACACATCAACACTTGCTCTATAATCATGACACAGGAGGAACCAACTACTCATTTCTGACTGGAGGGCAGAGCCCATGTGATTTTATTGGGGGCACTGCTAAGCCAGGGTAATAAGATATCTGATTTAGCCAGTTAAACTTGTTAAAACACTTTGGTTTATCTCGACTAGGTTTTGTCCTGAACTAGCAGACTACTTATGTTGTCCAAATTTGCTCTTCAAAGGGTTATGTGACAAGAAGGTAGAAAACATCTCCCAGGTTGTTACTGAGAGCAGAACAGTGGGGAAGATTTGCACAGTTCCTTTGTGCTCAAGGTCTTTGATTGCAAGGTATGGCTTCCATTCTAATTTGGTGCTAACCCACACAGTGTAATTTGGTACATACCCTGCTGCAGGATGAAATTACCGCGAATGATATTTATGCAGTGAGATTTACAGAGCTCTTGCAAACTCATCACAAAGAGAAGGGATTGGCACTTGCTGTGGTTTCCTTCTACAAGCAGACATTCAAATAGCTGGACAAAAATGTCTTATGTCTTCTACATAAAGGGTAGCACAGAAGATGGATTTTTAACGTGCTCCATTATATCTCCACATGGCTATTGAACATGACTAGCAAACGACAGTGTGTCATTGCTGATCTTCCTGAGACACCAACTCCCCCAACAACTTGCAAAGAGCTTGTGGCAACTAGGAACCATAAAGTGAAATGAAACCAGTTCAGTTTTTCCTCACCCTTTTTAACACCCACAAACCTTTAACGCTTTTCTCTGTGGGCCTGCGGGTGATTCAAATAATGCAGAATTCTTACTGCTCATTGAAAGCATCATGGACCACCACAGACATTGTGATGCTGTTGAAAATATACTTATCTGAAAGCCTTATATATTACTAACAAAATAGTTTTCCTTTTGCTTTTAGATCATGTAATTCAGGGTGTTTCCAGAATAACTTGAATCTGCTAATTTTCTGGCTAAAGAGCTGGCCAAAGAGCTTGGCCGAGGTTCCACTCTCTGCAAAAGATGAGAATACATCTCAAAGGTGAAAAATGGGACTTCAGAAAACAAAATGAACATTTAGATTGTCACTGCTTTTAGGGATAAAAAATTTCAGCTGAGATTTATTCAAATCAGCCTTGGGAAACTTCAGATGGAACTACAGCTTGAAGGAAACATTTCTTAGTGTCATGGTTTAAGTCCAGTCAGTAACTCAGAATCACACAGCCCCCTCTTTCACTCCCTGCCTTCCTCCCTCCCTCCTCCCAGAGGGATGGGGAAGAGAATCTAAAGAATGTAACTCCCACATCTGAGATAAGAACAGTCCAGTAACTAAGGTATAACACAAACCACTGCTGCTACCACCAATATTAATAATGATAGGGGAAATAACAAGGGAAGAGAATACAACCACTCACCACCAACCTACTGGTACCCAGCCCAACTGAACAGTGATCTAAACCTTCCAGGTAACTGCCCCCAGCTCTATATCCTGGGCATGACGTGCTGTGGTATGGAATACCTCTTTGGTCAGTTTGGGTCAGGTGTCCTGTCTCTGCTTCTTCCGGGCTTCCCCTCCTCCCTGGCAGAGCATGAGACTCACAAAGTCCTTGGCCAAACAAAAACATTACTGAGCAGCAACTAAAAACAGTGGTGTTATCAGTGTTGTTCCCAGGCT